TTGCTGTGTAAAAGAGAGCTTACTGTACCTATTTAGCCACGTACTCTTTTTCTTCGCCAGAACGAGCTTTGTTCTTTAAACGAGCACCTTTATTGCTAAAATTACTATATTCTTAGCAATTTCTTGTGCCTTCTGTTTACAATATTGTTCAGAAATGAGCAAATAGACCTATTGCTCTAATGGAAATGCATGCTCTGCTGCTTTTCATTTACGAGGTTATTAGTTTTCATTTCCACAAAATAAACGGAGTGCACTCGACACTTCTCTTGCTGAAACTGACAGCAGCGAGAGAACATTTATTATTTGCTGTTCACCAATTGCATGGAGAAAGCTCACAGTCCCAACATTGTATAGTTCTAAAAATAATTTTAGAACTTCTAATTTAAAGTTCTAAAATTAAAACTGCTGCCTTGAGGCTGCTGAAGGATTCTTTTTAGGAACTTCCATGAGGAGTGCTTGTGTGTCCTTGTACTGTTAATGTGCACATACAGTATTTGCAGTGTAATGTGAGAAAGTACTATATTAATATCAAATCATTGGCACAATACATATACCATAATGCTGTTGCAGTTTCTTAATTATGAAAGTGAAATACAGAACATATTTTTATACATTATGTTTCTTGGCAGGCAAAAATTATTCTCACGGACAATTAGGGGCATGCTGCACCTCTAAATAAAGATGCAACAAAAAAACCCCGATGATATCAGTGTCACCATTAGAAGCCTTTGAATGGGAATTATACATTGCATTTGAGAGAGATTCTTTTTCTTTCTATTTGGGTATTCATCTTAAGTAACATTACGCAACTGTTACCAAAGGAAGGGAAGACATTCTTGGACAAACCAAGAAAACTACACCTCAGTGGAAGTATTTCTCACTTTTATATTGTAAATAAAATCCCCAAATCAATTATGGTGTATTGCCATTTATGTTTTATGCCTTTGAACGACTGTGAAGGAGCTGTAAGTAAATTGCTCTGACCTTCCTTTCATTTAAACATTTAAACAAAGTGAAGTCTATCTAAAAACTCAGGGAACAAGCTCTAAACAGAGTGGACAGAAAATCGATATTTGTTAAATTAAGTGGATCGGCTCAGCCTGCCTAGGCTCCATGTACCAAAGTTACAATATTCAACCTGGAAACACATTGATGAGAAGAAGGGGCTACTAGAATGCATGCACTGTATATAAACTGTTTTGTACAGGAGTAATAAACTGGGTATTGCACTGCATTTTTTGAGGGCTACATTTTTTGGGGACTCTAGACATTTTATTTGAATTTGGGCCAGACTGCAAAGAGCCTGATCACTTTTATATACTAAACTTACTAGCTGGATAACTTTTATAAAGTGATTATGGTTCCACATAAAGGCCTCTAAATCCTGAAAATCTGCATCTATTTCTACACGCACATATGTGGTGGATGTGTCAGATGTGCAAGATGATGGTGATGATGAGAGCAGACAAACTCAAACTGAGCGAGCATATGAAAGAGTGTGTCTGGTGTCCTAGTTGCCCCGATGAGGGGGCCAAGTAACAGCACCACTCTTGGAGGAGAGCGCACGTGAGCTGGGGGAATAAAGGTTAGAGCAAAAAACTATTTTTTGCTCCCAAAAGAGGTGTCTATGATCCTCAGGCCAAAACAATCCAAATAACAGAAGTTTATCTTCACTATTTTCATTTTTTGTCTTTTCGCATACCCCAGCTTGCTCTCCATGATCGTTTGGGCACTATTCCCATTGTCTGGATGTTAAAGGAATATGCCCATTTCCTAAAAGCTATTTTACTGGCATGTTTTACTGAGGAGAAATATAAGTTAATTGCATTTGAATAATGTTTGGGCAAAAAAAAGTTCGGTCGGGTTTTGCATTTTGTCTTTTTGGCAAGAAGGATGTTGGTTTGATTCTACACTTGGTGAGAACTGTTGAAACTGCCAGTGTGCTTTTTTAGAAAAAGGACATTTCTCTACATTTCATACCATCTCTCCAGCCCTGTCCTCCTTTACCATAACTCACTCTATTTCCACATTATTCTGGTGCTCAGAATCAAGCTCTTTGCTAGCACTTGGACTTTTATCTTTTTGTAATTAACACAGACTTGATTTATTTGAACCAGTAAAAAACATTTTTTACTGTGGAAGTAGAAGCTCACCTTTGTTGAAATCTTTTCCTTACAATGGGAAGCAATTGAACAACTTCTACATGAATTAAAAAATGGTCCTTTGTGGCAGAGTTGCCATGGCTTGATTAGAGCTGTTGATTACCTTTGTTAACAAGAATCGATAAAGTACAAATCATTCCACACAACAGCTTGTTTTGAAAGTTCAACACCTAAATCACAGATACAGTATAGCAATACCAAACTGCATTATTTACATTACTTCCACACTGTAGGTAACTGCCAAAATGATTTTTCAAGTGCAGAATATACCCGGCAAAAAATGAGAAAATAACTGTATGAAATACATCTCCGCCAAACAATATGTTAGTGTTTATCTGAGTCACAACATTGGCACACAACATTTATATATACTTATATATATTATTTAGCACTAAATGGTCAAATGAATCTCCCAGTCAGTGTGTAACAGATCCCCCTTTGTTGGTAGCATGAGGGGAAATCTGCACATATTGTAAACACATTACTTTTGAAAGGAGTAAGATGGGCAATGGAACACCCTGATGTTATAATGCCTTCTCGTTTGGCATTATAATGAAGAAGAGATTAAACAGCCATGGAGCTACAGTACAATACAGCCTCGTTTAATACAATTGGAAATTCAAAAATATATCATGCATCTCATTACTGGAGAAGATTTGGCCTTCAGGTATTAGTGGAAAAGGCACATCATTTTAACAAACTTTGGAGGACCAAGTGAATTTCATAGAATTTCATAGTCTGCCTCCCTGTTGACTATATCAAATCCATTCATGAAAATCAACGAAGAAACTGTATTCATTAGACTTTCCCAGCCCAGAAGGGCTGTGACTTTTTCATCATTTTTACGTAACCAACCTGATGAACCCTTGTCTTGAGATTAAGGGCTTTAGCTGTTATTTTAGGGCCTGTCTCTCTTTAGTCCCCAATTTTCTGTCAGGGAATCAGGTGGATAAAAACACAGATTGGCTTACAGTTTGTCTTGCATGTTGATTTGATGGGAGATGTGGTATAACGTGGTGACACTGGGAGCAGCTGTGCAGAAACAATGTAACATATTGCTATGACTACGACATTCTGTGATCCACCCAATTGCTCTGGTGCTCTTAATGTACCAGAGGTTGAACTCTAAGAAGATAACACAATTTGTCAGGTGCACTTTGGTTTTATTCTTGTTTACCTGGAGGCAAGGTGAGCACAACTGAAGAGTAGAAGGCCATTTCTGTTCTATTTTTGTTGCCAAGTGCATTTTTTCCAGTGACTCTCTGCCAGATGTTATTGTACTTCTACCTTTGTGTTGAAGTATCCTTTGACAATTGATTCGTCACTTAAGGGCACTAACTTTTTTATTATTTAAAGATCAGAGAAGATCTCCTCAGAATAATTGAGCCCATACGCACTGACAATGGTGAAACATTAAGACTTCATTGGTAGGTGAGTTTTTCATTAATGTCTGTTGGAAGGACCTGCAGGTGCTACGAGAGTTTGATCCTATGGGTTACGCACACATTATGGATTTTGCCCACAGTCTTGGACTTGCTCTTCCAGAAGAAATTGTATCCTGTAACAGATATACAGTACAACAGGGATCCTCTGATTTTACTCTGATTTCATTGAGTGTGGCAATATCAATACCTTTAATTGATGACTTCCTTCAAATGAGAGTTGTGCATCTTTGAGTTTTTAATTATCTTTAAAGCTTTTCAGTGACTTGTGGTATTCCAAGCTGGAAGTTTGAGTTATCACTTTTGTGGTTTCGATGTTCACCTACAAGAAAGATGATCTACTATCTGCAGTAATCTAACCAGATTATATGGGGCAGTCAACAGTAAGGGAAGCTTTCCTAGCCCCTTCCCTTACAAAAGGTGAATTTATTCTAAAGGGGTTCAGCTGTCTGAATTGTTGTTGAACATCTGCAGCCCCCCAAGGTGGGCTTGAGGCTGTTTAAAGTGGCAGAGTTGTGGCATAGTCTGACATCTTTAGCATCTCAATATAGTGCTAAACTGTCTTTCAAGCAATTGTACTTGTATTTGCTAATAAATGGTATTTGTATGCTTGCAGAGACATTTCCAAGATGGTTCCAGGGTGTGGCTACACAACTGCTTGGAGCCACTAATGAAAGGTGAGAAACCAAAAGGTGCAGGTAAGCTCTTCAAAGGTGCTACCCCTTCCATAAGGCCCAACACACTTCATACATCTATTACTGTACATTTAAAGATTGTTTTTTGTTGTTGTTGTTTCTCATGTGACCTTGAGACCTGGCCATTTTAATTTTCACTCGGTAACACTGGGACACCGGGAAAATGTTTCTTTTGACCTTGACGTGCCGTCACAGTAGGTGGTTATCAGAACTGGGGTGTTACACTATCACAGAAAAGGAAAATAGGATGATACCAGATGTCCATCTGATGATCAGTGAGAATGTATTATAGTGGCACTCATTCCTTTATGACGATGGTATATTAGCTTGTTATCATTAGCCAGAAAGTCTCAAAAACATGATGTTTAAAGTTTGGATAAACTATGAAAGTCTACAAAAATAGATCTTCAGTGCAACTATCTTGTTTCTGTTAAGAGAACAAACAAATTCACACTTTTTATTCCTCATAAATTATGTAGTGATAATCAATAGGCCGTATTTCTCTATAATTGGATTAGACCTGCAAAGTGCCAAAAACCCAGCCATACGAGACCAATAAAACTAATGAACTTATACAATGTATGAAAGTCACAAACTAAAAGGTTTTTTTAGCTTTTGTTTTGGCCTTGGGCCTAAAGAAAGCTGAATCAATAAAAAACAACAGAACAACATTATCTGGATTATAAGTTCTGCATGTTTAATCAACTGAATTTCTGAAGTAAGAGAGATTGCATATTTTAAACTAGCGCTACACAAGGTTGGGTTGGCATATTTCCCACATCTGTCCACATCTGTGTTCTGCAATCGTGATGTTTCATCTATAAAATTCCTAAACAAGAACATGCTCTGTTTAACTTTTTTTTTAGATACAGTATTGGTCATGAAACTCATTAAAGTGAAACAAAAGCTGAATCTTTTGAACAAAGAGGGAGAAAGGAACATTGTGGAGCAGAATACCTATTTGTCACTCTGATGCAGAGTTCTTAATTAATTCAACATACATTTAAAGTTCTTCATGAATCATGTATAGTTGTACATCACTGCAATTATAAAACCCTGATGTCTTCAAATGAGCATGCATTACATCAGTATTTTCATGAAGAGAAGCCGCAGGAGAAGGAAGGAATATGTGGTGTGTGTGCATGTGTGTGCCTTGAAATGGACTTGAATCCCATCCAGGGTGGTCTTTCTCCCTGTACTCTCCACTTCTGGGAAAGGTTCCAGGTTGCCTTTATCCTTACCAGGGCTAAGTCGCTGGTTAATTAAAGAATGTTTCTCCTTCCACACATCTAACTTTACAGAGTGGATCACAGCACATTAGCAGTTAGACAATGCTTTGCAGGTTTTGGATGGTCATGTGAAAGGGAGGCAGGGAACCTCTATGAGGTTGTTCCCCTGTCGATGGAGGTTGATAACCCTGTTGATCTGAAGATCCCAGCCACTCACCCTCTTTGCTCTGCTTGCTTTTCTGTGGCTGGGAAGCCCTGTCTGATCCCACCACACTGCGAAGTGATGGGTTCTCATCCTCATCTGCTCGCTGCTGAGTCTGATGAAGCATTTTATCCGTTTTTTAAATGAAACCTGTTATACGAAGAATAAAAGCAGGAAGGTGAAATCTAGGAAAATGAATTGAGGTGAGAAAGCGTGCTGTAGGGAGTGTTAAACCACATTATAAAGTCCTTCAGGACTGTGTACTTTGTGACCCCTATTTCGCAAGGCATTGTGGATTTCACTGTCTCATTACTCCCTTGGTTTTTACCACGTCTATGTCGTCAGCTTTAAAATCAGGATTTCATACCATCATAACAAACTCATTTACCTTCTCATGCAGCCTTCATTACTTTATTACCTTATGAAAGATATGTTGTATATGTGAAGGCCTGAAACAATGGGTTTGCTCCTCAGTACAACCTTCTAGAACAGCTTACATGACCAGGCTATGTACTCTGTTGTAACTTCTATTATTTTTTCACTCTGAAAGTTCCCTTTTCCATTATACAAATATACAAATTATCATGCATTAACAATCCCATTCAGCTGTGAAAATGCATAATGTGGTGAGTGAATTTTGCATCAGGAAACATTTCAGATGTACGTTTTTTGTTATTTTTATTCATAATGAAAGCAGAACATGATGATTATATTTTATTGAATGCGACACAGGTTTTTGTATGTTTGTTTCTGTTTCTAACAGTTTGGGTCATGTTTTGTTGCATGACACATGATAAATGAAATACATTAATTACATATAATTATCACTGTTTAGTTTTAGTAGATGCAGCTCATTTTAATCACTGAGAAGTGTTAGCACTGTGCAAAACAGTGACATATACTAAAGAACATTTTGCATTAGTGGATAGAAATTTCAACTATTAAGCCAAGTCACATCAGCTTATTTGAACATATCATTATGATAACTGTATTTCAACAACTGTACATTAATATAAAGCTAAATGTGGTCAGAATTAGTAAACTATGATACATCATTGAAAAAGATATGCATATGCTTTCAGTTTAATTGTCAAATGCTATTCTTTGAGAGCTCTGATTGGATTCATGTCTTGATTTATTGGTATTTGGGTAATTAATTACTACTAGCTAGCTAGAATAATGTCCATCATTTCTATTTTGAAGTTAATTCTGTATCTTTAAACTTTGTTATACCCATGTGGTTTCTGGATTGTTAAAGATTTTTCTGGCACAGTTATTTGGAGCTCAATGTATCATATTTAAGAGATTGAAATTTAATTTTTCTGATCCTCATAATGGAGTGTCAAGAGGTTCTATTTTAGGCTACATTTTATTTACTATATCCATTAATAGTACAGGCTAGACTGTGAGCAAAGCGCAGCTTGGTTTATACTGTACACTGATTGAACTACAGTATATTTTTTAGTAACAAAATCTTAAGTGACAAATTACTTTATTCTTCAGAGAAAGTGCTACACATAATATTTAAATGTATTTTATTATTCTGTAGTACTTATCTGGATTAAGTCTTTAATTAAATTTAGAAAACACTAAATTAATATCATTCACTAGGGTTAAGGCTAAGAAACTGGAAGAATTAAAAATTAAGACGACAGAGACAGGATGTAGAATCAGTTTACACATATTTATTACTAATATATATATATCACTAATTCTACTTAAATGTGTCTACTGGTGTATCATTTTTGTTATTATTAATGTTGGTATTTATGGTGCAGTTATACCTTGGTCTGTTCTTGACAAGCTGTCTTTTGAAAAAGTGATATTTTGATCTCAATGACATTCACAGTTTAATTAAAAATGTTATATTAACTTCAGTAGAACATGGATGCTATTTAAAGACAAATTAATTGGAAATGTTAATATTCTCTACCACGATGTGATAGTATTGTCCTCCTTTTTGTTTATTTTACAGAGAAACTGATGGCTTTGTGAACCACACTGTTCTTAAAAAACAATATCTGACAATGGAATTTCATTTGTTTAACCCAAAACTGCCAGCTGGTTGCCAGCTCCATTAAAGACTGTGTTATCCGCTTTGTAAACGTGCAGATCATTAAAATGAGATTGCGGTGATGGTGTACCAGGGAGGGATGGGGCTGTGTTTCAACCCACCTGGGATGCCATTAGCTTTTAATGTTGCTGCAGGCCGATGGGATCCCAGTGGAAAGAAACAAAGTAAATCATCCATCCTTGAAGCCACAACTGCTTAATGTTCCTCAAGAACATTGAGTTTGTGTGGATTTTTTCTTTCCTGAATATTTGAGCTCCAGTACGTGTCCTGCAGATCATGATTTATGAAGCCAGGTGTGAGGCCTTTCTTGCCAAACCATTCAAAAATGGAGAAGAAAACAGCAGCGTGGTCTCATCAGTGGTTTCTCTTGCTATCTAAGAGAATGAGATGCAACTTTCCGTACATCTGGTCAATTTATATTGTACTTTCATGTTATTTGTTACTCAAAAGTACTGGGACAACAAACAAAATAACATATTAAAGTTTAGAGTTTATGTTTCTGAGAATGTGAAAATGTACTCAATTTGGAGAAAAGGTGTCCTGAAGATGTAAAACTGTTGTTTTACTGTAAGGGATGTCATGATGTCATTTCCTCCCCTAGGTGTTCCATCACTGGCTATTTCTTTTTGTCATTATGAAGCCTGTGGAAAAGAGGGATCTCTCATTTGCTTTTTTTCCTAATCTCTTAATTGGAAAGTCCTAAAAAGGAATAAGATTGGATTGGCTGGATAAATATTTGTGGAGAGTGTATCAAAATTTGCATCCCTTCAACTTTTCGAATTCTTAATAGCTATTCTCTAGATAACATCCTGCAGCAATGAGAAAGAAGTAAAGCTGACTATTAAGACACCCACTGACATCCATGCTCTGCTGCCAGTCCCAGCTGCTACACAGTACTCTGTTATTAGCTCCAGAAATACACAGCACACAATTAGACACCTCACGATTTACTTATTTATAGAGTTGCAGGTGTTCAGATTTATGTAAACAAAAATAAACAATGCGAAGTCTGCATCGCTCGTGGTTCTTGCCTGTCTAAAATTAACGTAGCAGAACAACTTCTAGTAATGAATTTTATATTACTGATATAGGTGAATCTAAAAGCAGAAATCATTTAATCAAATGTGTCCTCTGGAGGTAGAACTGAACATGAACCAAGAATGAAAATGTATATTGTGTGTTTCATGTCTGGCAATAATTTAGTATTTAGTATAAATCAACATTAATTTTTTAATTTTACTCATTTATTTATTTCACTCTTCATTTTGCCAATCTCATCTTAATGAATCCTAATGAATGAAGGTACTGTATTGAATTTTATTCCTAAATTCAAATTCTATTGTTTATATTATCTGGAGGGTCTAGGATTTTGATATTTTATATTTTGGAATCTGCCAGGATTAAAGCATATTTTCTGTTTCTTCTGTTTGCTTCAGATTTATAGCTATATCCTGAAATATACAATCCTACATAACCCTTCAATATATTTTAAAGCATGTTTTTTCAGAACTTCAATATTAATGTGTTTCCCTCTGTATTTTGCTGGCACATATACAGTGAGCTAGATTTACGCAGCATCTTGCGAACAGCTTGCAAAGCGCCCACTGGGCTGTAAATTTACAAACTTCAGATCTCCTAAACACATTACTTCTGGCAAACAGAATCTACTGTAAACCTCTTAATCTCAGTTCTCAAATTTCTCATTCATAATCACAATGTCTAAGACAATAAAGTCATTGTTGCACTTTTTGTTTTCACATTTTTCATCAGTGGAATTAAAGTTTCCATTATTATAATGCACTTAAAATGTCAGTAACATGCTGACAAATGGAGATGTATAATCCATAAATCCATAAAATTAAAATCAGATGTAAAAATCTCTACGTTTCTAAAGAAGAAAGCAAGTTAAAACATAATGAAATCTGAATATTTCTTCAGCATAAAGTCATCAATATGATTCTGATCCAGAATGGCCTGTTTGAATAATGTAATCAAGCACATGGACTGAGAAAGTGTTTTGCAATAACATCTCTTAGCAAATATTTAGCAGCAAGAGTAAATATGAATATTGGGAAGAAAATACAACGCAACTGCAGTTGTATACCTACAGTATGATTTTAAATGTAGCCATACTCTTGATACAATGTGACTGAATGTACGTGTATAGTATAGAATCTGTCACAGAAAGTGCATTCAACTAAGTCTCAAGGTCGTTATTTTGGCGTTAAAGTGATTGTTTACCTGTTACCGGAGCACCAAAGTTACAGCTAGCTGAGCCATTATGCAGCATAAGCAATGGTGAAGGGTGGTTTTCTGGAATGAGTCTGTCTCAAAAACATTTCTTCCTCTTAAGCATCTGAAATCACAGTTGGGAAAGTTTACATTCGTGTCACAGACTCCTGACAAGCACAGGAGTAAGACAGTAATTCCTCAGTCAAGATCCCTGAGGTATTTGACCAGATGGCACAAAGGTAACATAATTACTCAGCCCATTACCCTTTGTAATTAAATGTAAGCATCACCATCAATGTACTGGCACACACATGTAGAAAAATGTATACTATTAAAAAAAAATACTGTAAAGATACCCATTCTTACTGAACATTGTTTTGAAGCTAAAGACTGTTCAATACAAAGTTATTATCAGTTTATTTTAGTTTTATGTCTTTTTTTAAACATTTTCTTAAAGGATCTATACATATTGAATTTAATTAAACAGTATATGACTGTCACAGTCTCCTCCTTGCAGAGTTTAGAAGCGTAGATAGAAGATAATAATGATGGCACAGCCACAATTGCAAAGATATGCAATGGTGTTTATTATGTTCCCAAAGTCCAAACCCCCCCAAAAAACAAAGTGAAAACCACAAACTAACCAGAAAAAAACAAAGAACAACACAAAGCTATAGTACGAAATATATACATTAATTATACAAAAAAAAACACTAGATTGTTAAAGACAGCTCCAATTTTACCCCCACAATCCACCTTCTCCTAACTTCCCCCTCCTACCTTGAAGAGCTCCTTTTCTAAGTGAATATTCCACTATAAAGCACAAAAAATAATTTGACAAAATAATAATCAGAATTCTGATATAAACATTTCTTCAGTGAATATACAATTAAATAATGCACATATTATTACCAACAATAAAACATCACACTCACAACACTTTATGTACTGTTGTTTTGGCAAATACTACCCCCCTTTTAATGGTATCTTCGTACCAATTAATACACGCATGCGCAATCCTGAAACCAGCACTACTAAGCCAGCCCCTGTTGCAATGCCAAAGTTTGGTTCCTATAGATTTGCGGTAGAAACCATTTTCCCGGTGAGTCCTTACTCCTTACTATTTGAGATACGTGAGTTGATTACCAATTTGGTTCATTTCACTTCTAAAACAAAGGAAAACAGGTGTTTGGTTTGAGTTAATAATTAATTTTGATAGTACGGGAACAAGCTTACTTTACTCTGTGTGTGCACCCACAGAGCAAGCAAAGCTATCCCTGTAATTCCAGACTAGTTTGTTTATATTGGAAACCAGCGTTATCGCCTTTGTTTAGATAGTGAAATGTTTACGTATGGGTGTGTATGTGTTCATGTGGCTACCTCACGGGTGCCAGGTGATCTGGAAACAGAGTCACAATGACAATGCAGATGTGAGAAGATATTGTTTTCGCAAACAAAATCATTCTTCCAAATACCTTGTTCTTCATGAAGTCTTTTCAACTACAGTAATTACACAATCATATTCTATGAGGAAAATGAACAATAGGTGATGTACTGTACATAAAAATTAGATTTGAAGTTAATAAGTTTTTTTTTTTTAATTTGGGCAGGACCAAGTCTAAAATCTGTTTTAACTTTCAAAGAGGTAAAATGTTGTCCTCATGAGACAGACGGATACAGGTAGCATCTGTCACCTAAAATACAGTTTGAGAAGCTGCTTAAGATTCTGGGGATTTTACCTCATATCAAGATTTTTCAATACTCACATAACAGAGCTATCTGAATTGTTCTTTAATCTATAATTGAATAAAATAAACAAATTTCTACAGGTCCTGTGATCCATAAGGATTTCACTTGATAGACCCTTCATCTCTCCAGTCTCTCCCTGTGAAATTTGTAATGAAGGAAAGACTGTCCACAGGGAATGTCAGACATGAAGTGAGTCATCAATCCTTTCTATGAATCTCTTGGGGTTTTTTTGTACAGAAATGCAAGTTTCAAACTTACGAATGATTTCTTTAAAAAAGAACAACAAAGAACACACTGGCACAAAGTTTTTGAGGTCATGGTTCCCTGCAGAATTATTTTATTTCATTATTACTGTGTTTTATGCATGAATATCTAGCAGAAACAAAATAATGAGTGCAACAGTTGTCTGTAACCTGTTAGAAAAATGTCAACTCAGAAAGATGCAAAATAATCTTTTAAGTTGTCCCAAAAGCTTCTTGAACAATTCCAGTCACTGGCAAGTAGGAAACATTTTCTATTGCTGTAAGAAATGCTTCCGTCTGTTGGAAAATTTCAAAATCCATCAACTTGTCGAGAAAAACTGATAATCCTGCCAATATATGGTCCTGCCACACTTTATAAATTATACCAAATATTGCTTAATAAAGCAAACCAGACTGATGAAAAAGTCATCAATGAAAACTAATTAATTTAGAACATGAACCTGGCAGGAAGAGGAATTGAAAACCATCCTGGTATCCATCTGTGATGGATGTTGTGAGTTGTTTTGGTGCTGAGCCCTCACACAAGTCTGTGAAGTCTGCTTCAGTGACGTGCTGTGTGCAATGTGTCCAGCTTTTCTCAAGAAAGCCTTACATTTCAGACGGCTTGGGCTTTTGTGTAAAGACACTGAGCCAAAGACATCCTGGGGATCTTCTCTGGAAAGCAAATCCAGAAATTTGGAAAAAGAAGCTTCAATAATCTCAGTTTTGGAAGGCTACCAAGCACTTCTGCCACCCACGTTGGAAAAATAATTATTTACCAAGCAATGAATGTCAAGGTTTGATTAGTGTGGGAGAGCAGAAAATTCAACTTCACTAATACAAAAGCAAACAACTGGCTAGTCATATACGGAAAGGCAGTATTGGAATGATTGTAAATGACACCTTTATTGTATTTCATATGCATTGTTTTTACTTTGTGGACTAGTATTAATAAGAACAAACAGGAGATTTGCACTGTGTTTATAGTATTACATCAACAGCTATTTATTTGTTCTATAATTTTAAATCTCAAAAATAGCCCGCCGTGCAAAACTGAATTCACTCTCCATCTGTTACCACCTCTATGGAAGAAAACAGTTACAGATTTTAACTACAGAAGGTGTAAGCATTTACAGTAGGACATAAATTACTTCGGAATCATATAGTAGTACAGATTTACTTTTCTGTTATGTTGCTCTGTATTTAGTATGCAGCCATCGTGTGGGTTATCAATAAAAAATAATAAAAATATAAAAAATAAAATGGCAGACAAGAACCTCCTGAAACCAGTACTGTAGTGATGTGAAGACTATAGTATGAACAGCACATGTAACAAGTGTGTGTAGACAAATACAATTATCTTCCTTGTACTGTATTTCTCTGTGTTGGACATCTCATGTGAGCATGTTTTGAATAAAATCTAGCCACACATCATTAAAAATGTCACCAGGATGCTTCACTGCTTGGGACATCACTTAAACCAATCTTTTTAAGAAAACAAACACTTTATAACTGAACAGATGAAACTGAAAGCTTTACCTACAGAATAATTTTGCACTGAACAAATATATTGGGTTACAAGGTGCATGTTTTTTACATTACAAAACTGGATATTTGACAATATAATAGGAAGTTTTACTGTTGTTACTAAGGTATCGTTGCCTTTATTTAATTAACAAATAAAATAGCACATATTTTTAAGGTTTATTTTATTCTATACCTCATTCATTGGAGAGATGTACATTCCAGGTGTTTTTTCCAAGCACATTTGCAGGGAATGTGCTACAGAATCCAGCACCTTTCTTCTGCTAAATTTGAGCTCAGTTTAAAATTTAATGGCAACAGACTTTTTTTCATCCTAATTAAAGGCAACAAGAAACATAAAAAATGTTGAGATTCCATGGAAACTGATGATTTATTCTTGAATAAAATGTGATACTTTCAATAAATAGAACAATTTCACTTAACTGTTTAGTATCGTGCTGTACATTATGATACTCTGGCTGTAGTCCAGGCATCACAACCAAATGCAGACAGTTAATAAGCTTAGTGCCTATATACAGTACATCATACTTTGATCCATGTAATCAGAAAATTCGATTCAGTCCCGAAACAAGCTTAAAGATTATTTGATTTCTTTATTTTAACAAGGAAACTTTTAGCCTGAAACCCTTGTGTGCTTTTTCCAATAAATATTTATGCTAAAATGAAAAATTAATATAATAGCAGTATATCCCATGTTCACGGTGGTCCAGTTCATACCAGTCTTGTGAGGAGGCTTGTCTTCCATAACAACAGGTACAACCTACCTGGTCCGCAGGGCACTGTTTCCACCACATGTTGTGCCACTCTGGGAGAATACGGTTGAAACTGGAAGCCTAAAGTTCTCCATCCATGATGATGTTGAAGAAAGTTGCTGGATGGTTTTGTGTTATTGAAGTTTACTTGCAAGGTTATTTTAATCTTGGACTCATCTGAAGGATATTATGTAGAAACATAAGCAAAAAATGCAAATGACAAAGTTCTGTGAGGCAGACGTGTATTAGGAGTGCAGACCAGAGTGAAAAGATTGGATCAAATGAATGTGAAAGAGATGACAGGTGCAGTCTGAACAGATGAGTCTTCGAGAGACAAAGAGAGGTGGAACACTTAAGTTGTTCTGGTTGAAGTGTCCATTTCCACCAGTGGAGGAGAGGAATGGTCGAGCGAGGGTATGATGATCAACTGGGCCAGAGTGGTGAAGAACGAGCTACAGACTGCCAGGGCAGGGAGTAGTGATGAAATGAGTGGCAGAATTCTGAATGAGTTTGAGAAGTCAAGTAAGTCATCTTACGACCTGAAATAAAAAAAATAATTGTTTTAATGGTCTTATAATATTTCGTAATTCAGAATTCTAGTAAAAAGAAGATGAACAATTAGTACGTATCTACAGGTCCTTTCTGCTCCTTGTAGTAGGAACTGTGCTCTTTCTGTGTTTGGTTTTGTCTCTTTTCTACTTTTTTTGAGTAATGGGTGAGACTTAACTTTCGGTTCTCGTCCTGCTTCATTACTTTGCTTCCAGAAGAAGGCATATAGAATGTACTGTAAATGGACCTCATCGATTGCTCTGAAATACAGATTAGCAAATTACATGTTAAGGTGAAAACATTTAACAAATAAATAAACACAGACAAGGTACAGTAACATCCTACACTCAGTGTATTGCAATTTCTTTCTTCTTATTCTTTCTACTTTTTATGTTGACTGCATATTACCAATAGTGAGTTGTGCTTATTTCCCAAGAGGAGGGTTATAAATAATAAAACCAAAAGA